GTTGTCTGTCGAAGTTGAATCTTTCGAAAATCGGCACTTCTTAAGAAGTCGGTAATTTGCTATAATATATTCCGACTTGATATCAACACATATGCAATCAAATAGTTATGTTTTATTTATTTTCACCAATGATCAAATTTTAAAACATAATATCATACCTAATTTATAATTTTATTATTATATGCATAAATATAACTTATAATACTCTATGTTTAAAATATAATTTTATTATATAACTTATAATTTTAATACTATGTGTATAAATATAACTTATACTATTCTATTTACACTCGAATAGTAGTAAAGCTAATCATGAATAGTGGTTCGAAGTGGAAAAGAAATATTAACAAAATAGAATAAAGCATATAAATTAAGGGGAAATAGATAAAAAGGACAAATAGTTTACTGGTCCGGGAAGAAACCGAGTTGGCCCGTATAGAAATGGGTAGGTCAAGCCCGTGCTGCTATAGTCGATTTAGGCCGCCAGTGCGACTCGTTTGGTCCAATCCAAGTACCACTAAAATCCCCCAAACACACTAACCTCAACAAGTTCCATCAGTGATTATTTATTCTCCCAATTTTTTTTATTATTATCAAATGCCAGCCAGTTTACTTCAATACGACGCGTCGACGGCGTCGCCGCTGCTGTTCTGCGGTTGACGCTTTCCGCCGCCGGCAGCGACTTTTTCATTGGTAAGGTAAATTTCATCCAATATGATGATGAGTTGTCTATTTCCATTTATTTGGATCGATATGTTTTGTTTCCCGAATGATATTGACCGTGGCATTTAGAGATCTTCCAAAATTTGAACCTGATGATTGCTGGTACATATTGGTCGATCGATTATAAATTAATTCAACTTTGATTTTACCTTTTTTTTTGGCAAATTTATAGCCACTTCTTCATGGATATTAGAGGTCTTTTAATGGTATTTGATGCTTTTATAATATATTCTGATGTGCCCTACTTTTTTAAATTGTATTTGTTTGCACAACCTTAGATTGTTTTCCAGCATCTCTAGCCATTTGGGGATTCTGCTGCATAGCGGCGTCATTTTCGTTTATCTGCAGCACCAATCGCCATTTTTTTTTGGATTGATTTTCAAGTTTATCTCTGACATTTTACACAAGACGTTATATCTCTCAAGTTTTATCATTTTTTGGGATCATTTGATGTTGTTTCTTTACATGAATTATGTCGATCAATAAACGCTTGATGGAGTTTGTGCTATAAGAGTTTGCATATATACTTAACATAGTGCCTGTAAGTGTTGTTTTTCATTTTTGTTTTGTGATTTCCACAACGTGGTTTGACAGCTTTTTAAGCAGACTATAGCTGTTTATTATTCAATTTTCAGTTAGAATGGTAGTTTCAAGGACTGAAAATTTATTGTATAAAATTGTGGGAATATGAGATTCCACACTTGATAGGAAAAGCTAATAGACAAACAAATCCCGTGCCCAACTTTCACTTAGTACGTGAAAGTGGGATTCATTGTGCTCTGAAGTTCTCAAATTGTATGATTGTTTAAGCTGGCCTTTTAATCAGTCTAAGTTTAGCCGTATAATGGCTGTCTAATGTTTGTAAAAGAAATTATATTTGTCTTCATATATCACTTTTGTATGGAAAATCAGGTAATTTGTCAGATGTGATAGACGTGTATCATATGTAATCAATGCAGATGCTAGCAAATGTACTATAAGTATTACCACTCTATTCTTTCTCTTATGGCTTTAATTGGCTTTTTAATGTATTTCAGTTCTTTTGATATTTTCTCTCAGATTTGATCTATACTCTATTCTGTATATATTCTATTCCAGTACAAGTTTTGAGAAACTTCTATCTAACAGGAGCTAGTTTAGCAATATGGCATCAAAACGTAATATCTGGTATAGCCGTGTTGCTGTAGATGAAGATGATTATGATGGTAGAGGCCAATATCGACACGATCCTAGATTTGATTATACACCTAGAACGTATGACAAAATTCCTTGGAAGTCGATATTTTTAGCTATTTTTCTGCTCCTCCTCGGGTGTTTACTACTATTGCTTGCATTCTTCATATTCACTGGTCAAATGGCAGGGGAACTTTCCCAAGCATACGGCCTCTTAGGACTTGGATTTCTTACGTTCATTCCAGGTAAAAATAATTGAGCCTCATTATGATATGTTGTTATGTTGTGTAGCGTGAGATATTTTAAGTGACTGCAAATACCATTCTGTATGGGACCTCTTTTGTGAGACCATTGGGTGTACAGCTGAACTTAACCTTCCAGATTCTAAGTCTCACATGTGATAAGATGTTTTAAAAGTTAATAAAAAAACAGATCCTATTTTGAAGTTGTTGAGATGCTTGGATATACTAAGGTAATAGAAATTTTAGATGTTACCGATGATAGTTTTATGTTTAATTAGTTGAAAAAAAGAAGATTTGACTTTGAAGACAGGTTAGCAACCTCGGAGTTTTTTCATAAATCATATAAATAAGAGGCTTGTTGTTGATCTTGTTAATCGGAGATCATATGTCCATTTTCTGGAAGAGTTTACTTTAGACTACGACGTCTTAGATAATGTTTGAATGCTTGTAACTCAGCCTAATACCCTCTTAATCTATGCATTTGATATTTAGAGGGGTTATTTGGACTTGCTTTGATCATACTCTCATACTGATAATGTTCTTAAAAAGTATACATGTGTAAACTTATATTGTACGTTGCTGTCAAATAGATATTTTTTTTTTTTTTAAACTTTTTCTAAAGCATAGTATATGATGCACTCTTTAATTTCTTTTATCATGTCCTTGGAAATTGTGGCAGGCTTTTATGAGACTCGGATTGCCTATTATTCATGGAGAGGTGCCCAAGGATATCGTTTTGCCTCAATTCCTGATTATTGAGGTTTTCATCGTTTTTTGAATGCCTAATGTGCGGGGTGGAAGTTCCTCTTAACAACATTCAACGACAAGTTTCTCCTTATATTCATAGAGAGCCAAGTATTTGTATACTTATCAAATAATGTAAATGGAAAGTTTTTTGTGAGACCTTGAAAAGGAACTTACGGAAGATACTAGGACGGTGGGCTTATTGATTCTGGATTTGCATCTTATGTATTGCATGATGATTATCGGTGCATGGATCCTAGTGTTGTAAGTTGTAAGAGCTTGGTTTATTACTATATTTTTCCCCAGAACTTCATAAGATGTGCTTAGCCTTGGGTCAACTCTCCACTGCTTTGGTTAAGCTCTCAATGGAGGTGGAGCCTATTAGAAGAATATAACATGTGCAATACACTATCTTTATAGTTTCGTCTTGCTATTTGGCCACACTATCTTCCCAAATCTATTGTATTCCTTTTCCAATTTTTTTTTTTTATTTTTTTTTAT